AAGACCGCGACTGCTGGCAATTGCACAAAAGCTTATTAGTTTTTTTTTTTCGCCCGCCTGCATATGTGTGTGAGAAAGTAATACTTTTTACAACAAATAACGCGCTTTGAGGTCGCGGGCTTCATGTGCATCAATCCGTTGGCTGTTGTTCGTTTAGCTTTTAGCTTTTACTTTTCTCTGCGCCACACTTTTAATGGCAACTAAAAGACATTTCACTGGAGGAGCCCTGCGCCCCGCTCAAAGATTCCTACATGCACAAATTACATAATATATTTTGGATAGACATGCCTCATACCTTGCATAACAGAGTCGTATTCACGCCCTCTACGACCCATTTTCGACCTTCATTTTCGAACAGTCAAACATGAATCGAATAGAATATAAATGGCATAAAATAATATTATAAGTGAACCAACAAATATTGTGAAATAGAAACAGCAATAAATTAATAGAAATAAATTTGTTCTACTCATTTAATGAGTCTGAAATATATACGCTTAGCATGGTCAGAAAAAATGCTTTTATCAAGGTTCTCGCAATTCCATATGTTTTAGCATTGGTTAACCTTAGTACCGTTGCAGTCGTGTCGATGTACCCATGCCTATATGCCAATATTTGCACTATTTTGTTATACAACTTCAATGGAACAATCGATCGGGAATTAAGATTTTGCAAGTGTCTCGATTCTTTGTCTCCTGATAGACAGATCTGCCTTCTTGTTTTCGTAATATCTTATAAGAAAAATAAATTAACTGTATATAATCTTTCTATACAATTTACCACTCGCTGTAAGCCTGTTGCAAAGCTCACATCGTTTGGGGCATTCCGAAAACTGCAATAAGGACGTATCTTAAGGCCACTTCGACAACAATAACAGGCAAAACTGACCAGTGATGTGCCATCGTGTTGCCAATGGCAAAACATAATGTTGAATATATTTTGGAAGTACTTACCGCTTATTGTTGTTGCTGTTACTGAGTATTTTCAGCATGAGTTGTTGTTGATTTAATTCAAGAGGCAATGCATTTTACAGTCGAGTGTTTATATGAAAAATGTACAGCAATTCCAGTCAGGACTTCTGCCCACTTATGCTTTTATCCTTTTTATCAGTGCCATTGTTGTTTTGGACGATGCTGTGAGGTTATTTGGGGAACGAGGCACTTGGACTAACAATGGACACTGATAGCCGCTGCTTTTATAGTATTTGCTGTTGTTGTTGCTAGTGTCAGGGTTGGTGTTGGTATAAGGAGGTACAAGTGGCAGTGTAACATAATTTCCGTTGAAAATACATCAAATTGCGCCCACGTTGTAATCCTGCTTTGCATGTGTTTGTATTGCAGCCAGGACTCGGTGAGTGGCATACACACATGGGCAATTGGTGTGGTTAGTTAGCATCTGTGTTTATATTTGTATTTGTGTTTGCATTTGTTGTCACCACTCATACCAATATACAGACATTTTTACATAGTAGGAGAAGGCCGTCCACACACACACACTCATACATGTCCATCACATTTGGCTTTCGTATGTGCTTTAGTATTTGTTGCCCACACGGTAAAGTGTATACATGTGTGCGTTTTAGTTTTTTTTGCCCAACGATTTGGCCTGGCACATTTGTGTTTGTTCAGCTACTTTTGCGGTTTGCCGCTTCGCGTACATTTCAACCACATTTGTAGTCACTCCGGTTTCAGTTCGCGCATTGGACATATGCCAAAATATATGGCCCAGCACAGAAAACATGGAGGAGAATCGTGGAGGAGAATCGTGGAGGCTATAGGGGCTACCACAACATTCTATTACCACATGCTTCACTTGAGTTCACTTTACACTGACTGCGCCCAAATGAAGGTAAACACTTGCCGCAAAATTTATGCATACCAAGTGCAGCCTGTACCCTCATACAACTTCGGCAGGCTCTTGTTATTTTTGGTAAATATGCACAAGGTTTGAATGCAGCTGCTCTTATAAAAGAATACAATTCCAGCTAAACGCTTGTAAAAATAATATAATTCATAAATGCTTGACTCACAAATGATGTTGTAGGGTTCTTTAAATTCCACATAATGTAGTAGAGATTTGCTTAATTAAATGCCAAAATGGGAGCACAATAACCTCTTACTGACGTCATCTCGTAAGCAATCTCATTGGATTGAACGAATGGCTAACCGACGCGCAATGGCCAAAGAGCGATTATGACAGCCAAATTAAAACAAATTATGACAACAATTCGACGGATATTCACGTTTGTGAATTGCGCGTATGCGCAATTTAATGATGTTCGCAATTCAATTACATGCGACAATTTGCCCAATTTGACAGAGGCCAAATTAAAGCTAAGCCGAGAGCGCTACACTGGAATTTAATATAAAAGGGACGCCAAGAGGCACGCCCACTGCCCTCCAAGTCCCAGAGGACAGACTGCAGCACGTATTTATTAGCTGAGTTGCATTGATGAAGGTCGCTCTCCTCCTTCTTATTGCTCACACACTACATTTCTATCTATTTGGCTCGCTCTCTCTCCCACTCTCCCCATTACACTGTTTTGGTCCCAGGTCGCTGATTGACTCACGATTATGCAATAAAAACAGCAGACGAGGACGAGGAAAGCAGCGGGAATGGTAACAGAGGCAATGCCCAGCAGGCTGCAAAAGTACTGGTGTTTGTCTCTGGGTGTGTGTGCCTGTTAGTGTGTGTGTGTGTGTGTGTTTGTGTCTGTGTGCATCAGTATTTCGTTGGCTTCGTTTCAACGCCAGCTTTTCAAAAAGCTAAAACTTTTTTATGTCCAACTCATTAAAAATGTGCGTCAATGGACTTTATGCAGACCCGCAGCGGCCACGCCCTCAATGCTTCGCTTTAGGGAATTTTGTTGGGATTTTGGTTCGTTTGCTGTTTGCCGAGGATTTCATGAATGAGCCAGTCGAAAGCCGCGCAAACAACCAAAAGCAGCAGCAGGAGCAGCAGCTAAATGCAATTTCCAAGTTTTTAATGTGCGAAATTTCTAATTTAAGATTTACGATATTTTTATGTTGAATTACATTTCCTACTCCACTGCCACTCCCCGCTCTCCTAGTTTGATGTTCGCTCATTTTCGAATTGTTGGTGTTTGGCTGCGAATTCACTTCACTTCGCCTTGCTTTGTTAAGCTTTATGCCCTGTTTTGAAGGTTGGCCTGACTTTTATGTGTCCCACCTACCGCTCTTAAAATGTACGCACTGCGTTGTCCATATTGCTGGCGATTAATTGTTGGTCCCATATAGTCACCGCAAATAGAAGCATAGGGCAGTGAACGCAGCTTTAATGCAGTTTTATGTACTGGAACTTAATTGGCCAACATATCAGATATCATATCATGACCAAATCCTTTATATATATGGACAGCGCTGATTAAATTGTTTTCGGCTGACCAATTGACTAAATTCTGCGAAAAAAAATTCGCTGCTGTTTGAATTCGCTTCGGAGTTTATGGCCGGTTGTTTATGGTCGAGCTTGTTGTTGTGGGGCGTGTTACGAGTTTTTCAGCTGCAGTTTATCTGCCTCTGGGCAATAAATTTGTTGGTTGATACAGATTTAGTTGTACAGAGAATGTCGGAGATACTGAGATTGCAGAAAATGAATTGAGCAACTATGCATGTGCATTTTTTATATGATTAAATGAAGATAAATAAGCTAACACAAAGTTAGAGCCAAAATGCGGTAAGGCATTTATATATTGGGATTCCTAATCTTTGTTTAAAATTACAATTACTACTACAATTAGTCATTAAGCTTAAGTAGCCTTTAATCATCCCTCTGAATTATCGCAAAACGTTAAGTTACACAGATTTTAGAGCATGACATCGGACAGCAGAATTCAGACCAAACCACTTGTGCAAAGTGCCAGAGTTTCCACCCAAAAAGAAACCACAAAAACCGTATCTCAATTGCAATCACTCAAAACAACGGAAATGACGCTTAGCACAACTTCCTGCCGTTTAGCCGGACAAATGGACGAGCGCGTGCCGAGCCACGGGACAACGCGCAGCTTAAACGTGGAGAAAACCAGCTGCAGACACGAAAAACCGAACTGCAAAAGGAAAAGGCAAGGGTGAGGGCATCAATGCCGTGGGAGCTGCCGCCTGGTCAACTCATGGCCCATGGGGGAAGTACGTTTTTTGGCATATTTGTCAGCGCTGTTTCCATTGCTCATGTTCACAGTGCAACACACAGAAATGAGTGCCACGCCCACCATTACATTCATACACTTGCCGCTGTCGCTACCGCTGACTGACACATTCAAGTGCAATTTCCTTGTAATACGAAACTATGTCATTTTGGCACGGATGCGGGCCGAAAAGCCGGTAACAAGAACAACACAGGAGACGAGTGGACCAGCTGAGATAGAAGAGAGAATTGTTACATCTGCGAGCTCCTGCATACAAACATGACACGTCGCCACACTTGGGCGGCCCACCTGCGCCAGCCAACAGTCCACCCGCTGTTGGCACGTTGTAACCGAAGCGACAGCTCTTGTTGGACGTAGGAGTATATATTCCTGTATCTGTGGCTGCCAGCTGGTTTGTCTAGAGTGGCCGAAGCAACAGCATCTCTACTGAAGTGTCGACCAGAAATGCCGCTTGCCAAACGAGTAGACAACGCAACTAAGCCGGACGTTCGGATGTACGGTTGCAGGCGACGTGGGAAGAGCAGCAAGCAGCCTGACAAGCGCCATTTGGTAATGTAAGGCCCAAAATCAGCCACGAGTCGAGATCCGAAACCAACCCAGACAGTGCATGCACAATTGCAGGTAGCGATTTCAGCAACTGGCAACTGGCAACTGGCAACTATCAAGCGGCAACTGTTGCCGAGGATTCTCATGTGGGCCTCTTAAGTGTGCGTCAAGTGTTTTGCCCTTAGGCTTAAGCTGATGAGTTTTGGTTGCCAGCCGTTTAATTAGTTTTAGTTCAACTTGTGTGCGTTCTCCTTCTAATTGCCTTTGTATTTTATCTCTTTTGTCATTGCAGAACAATTTCACATCTTTGTGGGCGATTTGAGTGCTGAAATCGAAACGCAACAGCTGAAAGATGCATTCACGCCATTCGGAGAAATATCGTAAGTTACCTTCCAATACAATAACTCTTATTTAAGATCGTGAGGCAAGGTGATACTATTTTCGACAGAATGTTTCACGAGCTTTGCTCATTTCGAAATGATTGTCTTTCAGAAAGAAGAATAAAAAGCAAAACACAGTTATGTGCTGATGAGCTTAATATAAAACACAGTTAAGATAAATATGTTTGAGCAGACAAACCAAGGATACCTGAAGGATAATATTTTGAACATTTCAATCAAAAATAATAATATATGCCCGACCTGATAAATAAATTTTCCTTAAAATAACATTAATAACAATCTTAGAGGCCATTCAGATATGGATAATACCAAAACATATCGATTGCAAAAACTTGCAAATATTTCATTGGCCATAAAGTATATCGGAAAAAAGGCAAGAAATTGGGTAAATGGTTTGGCTGTAAGCCCTGTTTATTTGATAAACATGGAAATTAATTTTATATTTCTATCGGCATTTACCGCTGTTAATTGCTTTTTCATTGCGACGGCGATTGGTGGATGTAAGTAGGCCAACAGCCCAGTTTGGCCGTTTGCTTATTGCGACAGCAGCAACGAATTGAATTTGGCCGGGCGCATTAACTTCAATCAAAGAACATTTTGCGGCACTTGTGCAAATTATTAAATAAATAAACAAGAGCCAAATGACGTGGCCCGGTCGAAGCTATTCCCCAGTAGCAACAGCAGAAGCAGCGGCCGCAGCCTATGCACGCTTTATTTATGAATAATTAGCAAGCCATGGGGGCCAGAGCTGTGGAAAGCCACAGAATGTGGCGCCACAGCAACGGGCAGGTTATTTTGGCATTTTTTTTTTGTTCTCCTTTTTCTTTTTGTTTATTTTTTTTTTATTTTTGGTCGAAGGGCATAAAATGAAGACCCAGCCATGGCAAGCGGAGCTGTGTCGGGGCTTCGAGCAACGGGCAATAAATTAATAATTTAATTTTCGACTTTTATGTTTGAGCCGACAACAACAAAATGCAGCGACCCCAATGCTGGCGAGATGAAAACCGCAAGCGGCGACGCGGCAGCAAACAAAGAGAGCGAAATGCACCCCAGAATATGGGCGAACATAATATTAGAGCAGAGCAAGTGAAAGCAAATAAAAACCTGATTTATTCGTTGAGCGAAAGGACTCGTGCCACGCCTACAGCCGCCTGCCGCCCACAGGTCACTGGCAAACGAGTCTTTGGCACTGGCGGCGCTTTCGTCACACTGGGAAGCCCCTTAATTTGAAGCGTGTTTTGCTGGCTTTTCATTTGCCACTTTCTTAATTAATGAGCAGCTGCCGGGCCGCGCTGTGCCTCGCCGTGCCACGCCGTGCCACGCCCCCTGTGCACCTGAACCAAGCCCGCAAGTTGTATGCGCTAATTTCTTTGAGATTTTGCGAACGGCAGCTACAAAAGTTGCTCTCATTAGGTCCAATGCTCTGTCAGCCACTATTTATTTATTTAACATTTTATGGGCCTTTTTGCCTTTTTAAGTTTCTCCCGATTGCCGCTTGCTCATTACGCTGCAAGCGGCCCGGCTGCCCAGCAGCCCGCCCGGACCCGCCCCCTTCTGCTGAACTGAGCCCTGAGGCTGTCAAATAGTTACATTTTCCGCGTGTTTATTTTTGTGAACGCAAATCTACGAAATAATTACATTTTTCATTTGCACCTGAAGTGGCTGCCTGGGGGCAAACGTTGGGTGTTTCGTTATTTGATTTTTAGCGTCTTGAAGGACGCTCGTGAGCTGCTTCATCAGAATCCTTGATGTCGTTGATGTCCTGCCCGTTACGCTGCTACGTTAGCGCCCTCGCGACGTCCTCATCGTCGTTGTCGCACTTAGCCGTAGTCTCTGGCTTTAGCTTTTAATTTATTGCTCTTTATGTTTTGAGTGCCCGCGTGGGAAATAATCGCAAATGTGCTGGCGCTGCCAGCGTCGCAGTCGCCGTCGCTGTCGTCGTCACCGTCGCTGTTGCCTGTTCTGCTTACGGTTTTACCTACTTTTCATCAGGTTAACAACACTCATGGGTAGATTTTTCATTTAGTCGCGCATAAGGAGCAAAATTTATACAACAATTTTGCCCTGCTGCTGCTGCTTCTTCTATTTTTTTTAATTAACTGAAAGTTTCTTTGCATACACTTTGTTTCCTGACCAACAACAACAATAGCAACAGCCTTAATAAATATAGATGTGTGTATGTTTTTTATACGTGTGTGTGTTGCTGTGGTTTTAAATAATGATAGCACAAGTTCTTATGTATATTTATAATGCCTTAAAGTTCTTGCGGGTTTCTGTTGCCATGAAAACTTCTCCAGAAGCCGGTAAAGATGTTAAATGTTATATCATAAAATCCAACTTCAAAGCGGCTCAAATATAATCCTTTATTCCATTCATATGTATCGTTTCTACTGTAGCACATTTAATCAATCAAATTACTTGGCCCCTATCTATTTATTGGGCATAATGCGTTCTGTGCATTATTAGTTCACTAGCAAAAACGGTCTGGTGCTAATTAAATAAGCCCAAGATATATTTGGATAAAATAGCAGTAATCAGAACGGTGTCTGTCCGATTGTTATTGGATACGGCAGATAATGGCCATAAAGCACATGGCCGAAGTCATGCACATAACTGCGCAGGCTCGATTCGCCACAAAGCAAACGTCTTTCTGACATGGCTAATAAATAATTCGGCTATTCAATGAAACTCGAGTGGACCGCAACCTCATGAAACAAAGTCCAGGCCAACAATTAGCCAGAACCAATCGAACCGACTTTGGGTGGGTGCAGCACAAAACTGAATTTTAATTATCCGCCCGCGGCGATCCTCTGATTACCGATGCTTGTTGAGCTGTTTGCTTGGGATTGATGCAACCGAGGAGGCGTCCTTATCGAAAAGGGGGCTGGGCGGCTGATTAATTACATGCAATATATTTATTGCGTGGGGTTGAGCGGAGCACTCATAAATGTGCCTATCATAAATAAGCAAGTCAGGCGAATAGGAGAGACGCAAACATGTACATACACACACACGTACACACAGCGAAGGACAGCCTTGATTGGTCTCGGATTCTTATCAGCTAGTCATTTTAGTGTATTGATAGCAGCATTATTACTCATATTTTTTTATTATATATATTATAACACGCTCTCATTTCTATGCATTAGCAGGGACTCATAATTGAATCAAATTTTTCTGTACCATACTTTTGTGCGCCCCACAATTTACAGTCGCCACAATTGTTGCTCTGCTATTTATTGCTGGCAAAAAAAGGCTTAACTTGGCTTTTGGGCAAACTGCAAAAATTCCAAATACGGCAACAGCAAGAAACAGACACACAGAAACTTGAGGTTGCTACAACAAGGTGGGACAAGTACGTGCCACAATGCCAAAGAAAAGCAAATCAAACAAGATAATAGCTGAATAGAGGCTCCAGCAAATGGAAATAAAACTCGCTCGCTTGCGCTCTCCATTTTTTCGGTTAGTTTTAATGATACTTGAGAAAGTTTTGATTTTGGCCGTACAGCTTACCCCTAGCCGTATGCCTGACGCTGCCGTTGACATCATTACGTTGATTTTTCTTGGCGGACGGACTTACATACAAGTAGCTGCTGCAGTTCGCCGGCGCTTAGGCAACAGCTCTGAATTGAGGCGATGCTGAAAATGAGCAAAACTTTCAACTTAATCTATTCAGAAAGTTGGCTTTGCAGCCGCCGCCGCCGCCATTGCCATCGCCATTGCCATCGCCACCGGTTCAGCGGCTGCTGTTTCATAAACTTCAAAATGCGCTTGTGCACGTCGCGCTGAGTTGCAGAGTTCGACTTGCAGCTGTTGGCTGGAAACGGAAACCAATGATCGGCGACAAGTGGGCGCCAAGCGTCTGATGGAGCTGCTTCCACTCCTGGCTGCAGCAGCGGAAATGGAAATGGAAGAAAAAGTTGTGCTCGTCGCTCTAAGTAGGCGTCGGCTTTTGTCACGACGCGGCGAATGACAAATCAAAATCGCATTCAAATGCGACGCGGCGTGCAGCGGAAGTTAATGCGAAAAACTTTGGCCCTAGAGCCTGCACAATCAGTCAGTCAGTCAGTCGGTCGGGCAGGCAGTCAGGCAGGCAGCCACTTGCTTTCGCACTCGGTCTGGCTCCTGCGTCCGCCCAAATCTTTGCTGGGTGTGAAAAATGAGTCTTGCGACTTTTGTTGCAGCAGCGAACGCAGCAACCGCAAAAGCCTGACACTTTTTCACGCTGCCTGCAACAATTTATTTTTGTTGGCAAGTGTCAAAAGTTGTTCTATGCCAAGAAGCTGCATTTAAAAAGCGACCCTAGTACGAGCTTTATACAGATATGCGTTTGTATGGAAGTCGCCAAGCTTCCGCTTTAAAAACGGCACTTCATTAAACGCAAATTAAAAGTATTGCCGAGTCCCAAAACTGTCAGCATTTAAATTGAAATAGGCCAAACGGCTGCCACATAATCTTTTAAATATAATTTTAATGGCCGCTCGTTGAAAAGTTTGGCCCCAAACAACCAGCCAAATCATTAAATTGCAAACAATTTTCAATTTGTACAGATTTTGTATCAATAGGAGAGCCAAGCGCTCTAATGTTTAGATAATAGACAACAGATCCGTTCAGCTTGGGGTCTAAGGGGGCACAAAATAAATTTATTTAATTTACTTTTGCCCGGCAGCAACTTTATGGCAACAACTTTTCACATAAAATACGCATTAATTCATTAAAATTGACAAAAAGGCAAAACACAAGTGCCAAACATGGTTGGCAGCCTTTGGGCAAGGACTGTGCCAACCTCTGCGCTTGGCAAGCGGCTAACTGAATGACTGACTGATTGACTGACTGACTGACTGACTGACTGCGACAGACCTGGACAGGCTTTTACATCCATTGTCCTGCGACGGGGTCCAACTAAACGGCACTCAGTTGGCAAGCCAAACAATTTGGAAGGCGCCGCCCCCAGCCCTCCTGCAGCGGCTAAAATATAT